TAACTCTTCTGTTTAAAATGTAAAATGTATTTATTTGTTTTATCTGCGGCAAAGCCACCTAATTTTAAATGTATAGATTTTCCTCAATATATATAGTAAAATCTAAATACATGTATAACTACTGGCTACCCCGCCACGTACCGTATTCTTATTTGGGTGCAGTCACACCATGCCCATCTGGTGTGACACTCCCCTGTAATTAGGGTACGTATAATTCCGTTAAAGCTAGGCACACGTCGCGCCGCTGGTGTACCTTGCCCCTCCTCTTCTTCCTAGCATGGAGAAGGAGTATCGGACTCGCAGTCGACATCCTCCAAATCCACGACTTGGTACTCCGTCGCCGGCGGTGGTCGTGGTGCGCGGTGCTCGATTGCCGAGGGCTTGGGAATGCGCTTCTTTTGAAGCCGCGAACGCGCTGTCCGTTGGTGCATCGCGTGCAGAAAACGAGGAAGGGCTCTGTCGGCGGGCACTCTCAAAACCTGCGAGACTGGTGTCTTTCGTGTCCTAGACACAGAGCTTATTGAGCAGAGAATGCGTACAGAAGGTCGTTGGGATGTGGAGGCGTCTATGATACGCGAGCCTCGTACGAGGCGACAGCTAAATGTGAACTGTGGGTGTTAGCAATTTTGATGTGGGAGAGTGTAACGAGATTAGACGTACACTGGTTTGAAGAGGTATTTCTAGGGCAGAAAAGAAATGATCAGAGGGATCATGACGTTCCTCGCCGTCGAACGCCCCGCGCTTCTCGGCAATAGCCGAACAAGCCGAAGGGCCATGAGCTGAGCTCAAGCCATGGCCCTGAGCTGCTGTGGTCGCAGACTCACTCATATAAGAGATCACAGAGCTCGAAGGAGCGTAATGGATTATGTCAGCCTCTGCATATAGGTGAAAGTTCCTCGATGCATGACACCACCGACGTAGCATGTGACAGACTACATTTTTGACATGCAACTACCTCCACATTAAGACGACCAGGCTTTTAATTAATCTCGAATGTATACTTGACGGGAAAGTATGATAAAAAACTTACTGAAGGGTGTGTTCTGAACAAGACGAGATCATATTTTTTTCCTACTAACTCCTTGTCATGAACTGAATGACTTTCTCGCTCGTGTCAAGCTGACAAAACTAGATGCGTTGATGCATTCGTACCCATTAGCACCCACTTGAAGCAAAGTACAGCCTGTGTCAAAAGGTTCGATCGTCACAAAATCTTGAGATGGCTGGTGCAAAATCAAAAAGGAATTGATAGTGACGCATCGCGTTTCCTTGAACCCAAGTCAATTGATATCTTTTTGCAAGGAATCCTGCCAAGTCAGCATAATTCAAATATGCTGGTGCAATATTTCTGTCAAGCAAATTTTATTTCATGGAACCCATTAGGGTAGCGGCAACGGCTAAGCATCTTTTCGGTCTTGATTCTTGCTGTATCTGATTGTAGATCATATTTCTAAATAGCAACCCAGAAATGAGACTTGGTCAGCAGCAGTGACACATTTGTCTGTTATAGACAATATCGTATCTAAGTACACTCGAGCACAGCTCACGAGGGTTTGATATGAATATCCGCAACGAGCTTCTGTGCCTTGCATGACAATATACGGCTCGCACTGAAAAGGTATATGTATACACGATGCGCCCTCGAAAATTATATTACCAGACGATTTAGTCTTCCTCATGCATCAAAAGTGCAAGAAAATGAGTATAAGTAGAACATTCCGCATGCATAGAGTACTCGTTGTAGGGATATCATTTAATCTCATGAACGGCTCATAGTATTTGCCAAGCTGGTCAAGACTACTAAACGATGTGCAACCAACCATGCTTCCTAGTAAATGGCGTTCGCGCTGAGATGAAGGCTACATTTAACATATCATAAACATGCACAATTCCCCACTTGCCGTCAGCTTTTTGCGACAAAAGGCTGACGCCAAAGTGAGAGGTATCCGCTCTCCCCAATCACAACTCAAATTCTTATGGGGTAAGCCAAGAAAAATCGCACCATTTCTGCATTTAGTGAGATAAATGCCTGGCGCAATGTATTATTCTGGAACCTGGCTAAATGTCTGCACACTACCTGATCTGTAATTACTATGTGTGGTGAGTCTCTCGTCACCACGTCGTGATGTCCTTCAGCAAAAAAAAATTGTAAGGTCCTTAAGGACAGCTTGTTTGCTTCTCACACTCAATGTTCATTAGTTGTCCTAAAATAAAGCTCATCCATTATCATCAATGAGCTCGATCCCTCCTTCAGTACTGACAGTAGCAGCTTGGCGATCTCGCGTTTTGCTATTTCTTGCATGCACTCTTGGTGTCAATTTCGCGAGTGCCACGAGCGTTTTTACCTGGGGCATTTGGGGAACTTACTTTACCAAAAACGCCCCGGCCATTCCATTCACAGGAATTATTCTTGCCCGATACAATCCCATGAAGCGTCACTAATCAGCACTGTACGGTGTTGCTGACTCAGCAGTACATTCTCACCGTGACAAGGTTGTGCTATCCTTATTGACATTTTTTCCTAGTACAATTACTTGCAACTTATAGTTTTTTTGTAATAAAAGTCCCTTCCTCGCAGACCGAGTCACTAAGCTGCTTAATTCATCTCCGCGGTATGAAACCTGAAGATGGCGGTAAACAATCGCTAATTTCCATCCCACCAGCCGCTGCTTTGGTGGAGTCGCGCTGGAAAAAGAAGCCGTATCTAAATACTTCAGCTTGCTGTCGTCTCATGCGAGAAAATTCCTGGAAAGCGCAACAACGCTCACTATTCTCCGTATCATAAGATTTATAGTCGGAAGACTGAAGCTCATGACCGGTCCTGACATTTAAGACTAGATCAAAATATTTTTGCCGGCATTTTGGATAATGCCGTGTTCCGCACAATCCCTGCGTCAAAAGTGCTACTGCTTGCGAGCAAGTCATATTATGATGTGAAACGGTAATTGCTCAGAAAAAAGTTTCACTTAATAAAATGCGTGTGTAGGGATGCGCCTACGACCGCGCCGACCCCAAAGCCTCTCAAATAATCAATGCTTTTTAGCCAGTTGATAAGAATTATATGTATGAAAGCTTAAAACACTCAGCGCAGTTATGTTTCGATTTATAACCATGAATCCAATCTAATGCATTGCGTAAGGCTAGAAGCCCATCTATCTACTATCACCAATATCCCGGTTTAAGTGCAATTTTTATTACTCCCCAGGGACAGCTCAATTGGCGCCCCAGCGCTGATAAGCGGTTAATGCTCGCCTGGGGATGTTCAATGATATGTAAATGCGCTGCTGAGATATTCCAGATAGGTCTACACCAGGATTTTTCGAAGAACAATCAGCTCATATCTTTATATCGAAGTACTCTTCTAAATCGATACATTCTTTAGCAGCAAAGAGAAAAAATGTTTTTTGAAGTATAAAACTTAGACTAGATGTGCTTTTGACACAAATTCGAGCCAGCACAAAGCACCCGTGATCGTCGATCTAGCACGTCGCGCGTGATGTTTGACACAAATATGCAATGTCGCCGAAAAACGAGGCATTTTCACTGTGAAGAATTTTAAGCAACATATTTTGATATTATTCATAGCATTTTTGCAGTGCTAAAATTACATGCGATCGCAATCCTTGTCCGTACTTCTAGGACAAAGTGATTTTTTGGACAAAATCATAGATTAGAACTCTAGTAGGCAGGGTGACGGCAGCCCCTCTTCCAAAAAAGGTATCTATTACCATGAAGGGTCTCTGCATAGGTATGCCCTAGGTTGAAGAACGCTTGAGTCCACAAACCTCTTTCAAGAGAACGGTCAGTGCTGAATTGAATGCAGAACGCAACTTTCGCCTCTCAGGGCCACATGGATTTGCGGAATTTTAAGTTTTATGAGCGCACCAGAGGCAATAGACATCCAAAAGGTTTAGAAGGATGAAGAAAATTTGTAGCTGCTGAGCGTAGCCGTTGTGATCGCAGATACTGCATGCATGAAAGAGATTTACATATATGCCCTGCGTGTCCATTTTGATCAGATAAAGAAACGAAGGGTCAATTCTCCACCCGCAAGGTTGTCCGAAAGGCTCCTCACATAAAATCGTAAAATCATCGTAGGTGCGAGGCGACAAAGTAGCTGGCGAGGCCAAACCACTTGCGCAAGTCCTTTTGGGCCTTTGAAACCGGCCAGTCTACAATGGCCTTGACATTAGAAGGATCCGCTTGAAGGCCACGCTTCCCAAAGAAGCACCTTAAAAAGGAGATTTCTTCCGCGCCGAAGATGCACTTATCGGCAAAAGCATATAGCTTGTTCGTGCGCATGCACCCGAGCACAGATCTTAAATGAACGATGTGGTTTTCCACATCTGTCCTCTCGTGCCCCGCGCGACTGTGGACAAAGATGTCATCAAAGTATGTCTGTACATACGCACGATGTGGTCTGAGCAACTGCATCACAAGACGTTTAAATGTTGTTGGCGCGTTTGACAGCCCTTGGGGCATCTCCAGCGACTTTCAGAGGCATCCCGCTCGGAGCACTCACCGCTGATAGCGATATATCACTCGCTCTCATGAGCAATTCGTAATAACCATCGACCAAGTCGAGTGCGCTTTAATTTATTCAGCCAACCATGTTATTCTGGAGAACATCCTTCCTAGGATTCGACGTCTTTGCCGAAATAGTGGCAGCGTTTAGCATATTATGAAGCGTGAACTATACGCAACTTGCCCCTCAGCTTTCGAACCCAAAACGTGGGTGTCAAATTGGGAGACTTGCTCGCACCATTCCTGCCTCGTGCTTTGCACGAAAAAACGCTTCAATGACGTCACACTGCTCGTTCGGCAGGGGGTATTGGCGTGTTGCGCTGTATTTGGTTCCCGGAACCAGGTCCACCTGATGACGTGCACCTCGGTTCGAAAGTAGGGCCGACGGCGTGTCTTCGAAGACGACGTCTTGGAATTCCTTTACCAAAAAGATAGAGCAGATTTGAGGGATTCTTCGGGATCGACGATCCACTTCGTGCGTTCAGCATCCTCTTGGTGTCTTCTATGACAGTTTCAATCAAAAATCGACTACGAGTTGATCTCTTTGTTCAGTCGTATAATGACCACCTCGCCTAAATCGCTGCCTTTAAGGAACCGCCAAACTCTTCAAAGAACATCAGTCCAGCTCAAGAACAATATACACCGCGGAAAAACCCTCAAGGGTGGCGTCGCCGTCTTTATCTCCCGTCATACCTTTAACAAGGGCAGATAGCTGTTTGCTTTCGTCTACGGCACATCCTGGATGAGGGTCGACGCCCTGCGTCTTGCAGCTATCACAGGTGACACCGTCGCGTTTTCGCAGAGGTTGTACGTCTCGGCGAGACCAGTACTCAGCGTCGCCCAGTGACCCACTCCCTGCTCCACCAGAGACCTGATGCTATAACAACACCCGATGAATAACCGCTAGCTCCGCAGTATTCGTCGATAACGTACCACTTCATGCGCTTTGTCCGAGATGCCCTGGATCTCGTCCGACCATGCCACTCTTGGCATGCAGCGACTGCTACGAAATGTGAGCAGAGCACAGGGGATTACGTGCTGCTCCACGCACATCACTCGGGCTTCGCCTTCGATGCCTCGGTCCTTGGCCGACCATGCCACGCATGGCATGCTGCGACAGCTCCGATACTTGAGCAGCGCTTTGTGGGTTATCTGCCACTCCACGTTTAGCCCTCGAGCCATGCTCAGCTCTCCTAATATAAAACCTTTCGTGTTCTACAACTCGGATGCTGTGATATCCAGCACGTCGTTCGTCACGGTTTATTGCCCGTGCCAATAGCGCTTCTGCTTCCTAGCAGAGGTGAATTCATGAAAGCTCCACCAGGAGACGTGTGCGAACGCGCCCAAGAGCTTCGACCACCAGTCGATCCTTGGCTCGCGATGTTTTAACAATGTCATATCGAGGATGAGGTCATACCTTGAGTCCAAGTCTAAGACTAAGCAGCGTTCTACGCTATCAAACTCAAGAAACTTGACATTGAGGTCCACAGGGACCCTCGGCAACGTGACACAAGCCCCCGTCGCTAAGCGAAGAGTGGCGATGCCACTCAACCGCGCCTTCAGCTCCTCAGCATAAAGTTGACTTCCTTCGATCGTGGAGCGTTGATTATAATTGCTCGATGCCCCGGAGTCGATCAGGATCTTCGATGGCTTTTCAAGCCCTTCAAAGTCGCTTTTACGTCCAGCAAGCCCGGCTTGCACACATGTTTCATTTTCAAGAGCACGGAGCTCTTCGGGGCTGGGCCCTGCTGCCTTCTACCTCTTTGAGGCTCAACTGATCAGGGTGCCGTGCGCCTACTGAGTGTTGTTGTTTCTCCGCGACTAACCTGAAGGCTGGCTAGAAGTGAAAGTCGCGTTGATAAACCTTTATGCGCTTTGCGCAGGAGCAACCAGTCCGAAGTTGATGGGTACAAAACACCGTCGGGTGGTTACACGCTGGTCGACAGCTCGGAGCTGTCCCTCCTCTTTCTAAGCATAGCTAAAATCCATTGGTTCAGACCCGCTCGACGAGCTGCTAGGGTGTGAATTCAAACCAAGTTGTGCCGACTTGAATTTGAATGCGGTATCCAATGCCACGTTCACCGCTTCTTTAAAAGAAGACGGGTGCACACGGAGGACTTCTATTCTGGCCACACCAGTGCGGAGGCCATTCATAAGGACGGTCACTGCGACCGCCTCGGGGAGAGGATTTGCTGCCATCCCGGCAATGAGAAATTTTAACTCTTGGACAAAGTCCGCCAACTCCTTCTTGCCCTGTTGGGTAGCAAGAAACGTGATCGCACGCGATATGCCTGATTAGACGACGAGAACACTCGCAAAAGCTGACGCTTCTGCTCCTTCCAGGAGGAAAACTTTAACCGAAGCTCCCCATTTTCTTGCCTGGCCTAAAGCTTGGAGATAGCTGGCTCCACGCGCTGTTGCTCGTTTTGGATCATGGCGGATGCCATAACCTTCTCGGCCTCTCTCATTCAGAGCAGGAGATTCTCTACCGTTACCCTTGAAGGTCTTTACCCTCACCATGAGCGGCCTGGGTCGGGATAAATCATCCGTCGTCGTCGGTGGCGTCATGGACGCTATCGACGCTGACAGCTTTTGCTGTAAGTGCTCTAAAAGTGCATTTTCATAATTTAAAAACGCCTTTAGGCGCACGCTTACCGCCTCGGGCCCTTGCCCCCTCATGGCCCAGCAGGGACATCAGCTTAATAAGCCGTCCTGCATGTCCTGGGGCAAACAGGAGTATTCCTCCGTCCTCACAGTGGATCAGTCGCAACGACTCAGGCGTAGATCGACTACGAGCTCTTTTCTTATAGGAAGCTAAGCTAAGATCTTACGTTCTCTACAAAAAAAACTAATACGAGTGCAGCCGATCGCAATCCGCTGCCTCCAAGAGTACTTAAGACATTAGGCAACGTAAGTGTACTCTTCCGTTCAAAATGGAAACTGTATTTTGTTTTAGTTGCGGGGGAGCCGCCAGTATGTAAAACCCTAGGTTTTCCTTATTTATATAGTAATGCCTAATTAATATAGGAAGGCCTAATTGTTATAGTAATATGCATCATTACTGACAGGTAGCCACACCACTGTGTGATTACACCAACTTATGTTATCCACACTCATATACTGTCACATATCCGCCACTTTCATACAAGGGGGTACGTGTAACCCCGTTATACCATGTCAAAATATTTGCTCTGTACTTGTGGTCAGACTAGTTCTTTTGCTCAACCCTCTTTTGGTCAGGGACATTGGCTAATATACGATGATCTTTTTCGCCGCGAGATCTGCATGCAAGCCCTGCTATAAAATGAAGCAATTCAAGAAAGAAAATTTTGTCGTTGCCAACGACATGTTGGCGAACACCTTGTTTATGCACATACACTGGTGCAGTGCTCGGAAGTGCCTAATGTTGTTCTCCACATCTGACCCCTGTTCTCTGCACTACTCTTCACAAATATATTGTCGAGATAGATTTGTACATAGCCGTGATGTGGCCCTAAGAGCTGGGTAACCAGACGGTTGAACTTCGCTGATGTAATACAATGCGTGTGACATAAACAGAACTTCCCGCTTGGAGTGCTCGCCGCTATGAGATGGATATCGCGGTCTTTTTGGGTCAGATAACACCGGGTCAAGGATGAACAAAGTGCAGCTGACTATGCTATTCGCAGCACATCCTTCCCAGGAATCGACATTTTGTGCTGGAATAGTGACTGCATTTAATTAATGAAGCATATGACACAGAAGTGGTGAGATTGAATGAACATTGGCGATAAGTAATTGACTGTAGATATGATCAGTTGCTAACGCTTCAGTCTGGTCAAACGATTCGCAAACTGACAGCTTAGTGAAATTGTGTTGTAGCTGCTAAAACAGTTGATCTATATTGGTTTGTGTCAATTCACAAGCTTGAAGACCTACTAACACTTGATTTTTTCTCGAAAAAAAGCGGCGGCGGTGGTTCTCTTGGGAACAACAATCCCACTTTAACAGCGTCGACGGACATTTTTGTCAATTTTGCATCTCTTATACGCCTGTGGTCAATGCTTGGTTGATGTTGTGCGACCTTTTGCATTGATGTCTTTCTTAAGTGTACAAATCGATCATCACAGCAAAAATTTGTGATCTTGGCTCTCTCCGAGTCTGCACTTAGACTATGAGAATCATGTCTTTTGCTGCCCTTATTTTGTAACTCCGATGTGACTACAAATTTGTCAAGCATGTCCTGGTCGCACTGCACACTTAGATCTTGTTTCAACACTCTCGTATCGCCGTTTTCCTTCTTAACCTGGCGTAAGTTCGTCACCCCAACTTGTTTCGCCTGCGATTCACCAGTTTTTTCATTCACTGAATTCGTCGACTGCATTGTTATATTTTCTTGGACGACTCGACGTGTAGTAGGAGTCTTAAATTTGTCCACCTGTACACCAAGCGCATGCCTTAGATGAGGAGCTAGTGTATTGCCTAGACAGGACAGCGTGATAGTTCCAGTCACGCTTCCTACGCTTAAACTGCTGTGATCTCTGAGCTCCCACAAACCGCTGTGACTCGCCCACTCGCAAATGTGGAGCAGATTGTCGTTACTCGATGTGTCATCATCAAGCAGGTCAGCTTTTAGAGCTAGAGGCACGGCAGCAAAAGCTCGAAGTCGACCCCTACCGTGTTCCTTAGCGAGTATTAGAAGCGTCAGTGGTGCCTCGACATCTTGCTGCAGCTCGCGAACGAGCTCATTGGGACTTGCTTCAAATAAACACGATTTGCCATACTGCAGTTTAGTCACTGCAGGTTCATGAAGTCCATCCAGAGCTTCATTACAGGATAAAGTGTCGTCAAATAGGACAATCTCGTACTGTAGCAGCTGAAAGGCAAGCAATAAGGGGACAGAAATTGGAGATGGCACTGGATGAAGTGTGACGCAATCTATATACATTTGCAGCGTGAAGAGTAAAGAGGCAGTGTTTCGAGGTGTAGAAGTTATTGCGAGGTTGCCACATGTTGCGACAGAGACCATTTTAGATTCAATATATTCCAGTTCACACCGTTGCAGATGCGACTTTTCGCAAGAATTGGTATCCAATTACAAGACTAAGGGTGAATCATTTTGTCAAATTTGACACTGAATGTAGCTTGCCTCGCAATCATGCCGATGAACTGGATGATTCAACACAAGTACATGACAATAACCCCACAGAGCCTAAAGTTATCAGATAGCAGGTTCAACATTAATTATTCTCGTTGCTTAAGAATCTAGCAAAATTCTAAACTTAAATGGCTTCCAAAGCCAATTTGTATGGGAGTGCGAGATACTTAATAAAATTGCGCGTCTCACAGTGACGAATGTTTTCGTCCATGACGTCTGCGTCCAATCCAAGGCGCCATGCAATGTCGTAGCGAGACGGATCAATGTGCAGAATTTCAAGATCGTCGACATATCGATCTGCACTTTCCATATCTGCGAAAAATCCCAGCTCCACAAGTTTTGCTCTACGGCAGTATGTTAGTCGAGCCAGCTCGTGTAGGTCGTACTCTGGGTGATACTGCACAGCCCAGAAGTCCCCCTTTTTGTAGCGCACTGCTACAGCCTGCACTGCTGTAAAGTCATTGCCACAAAGAGTAAGTCCCCCAGGAGGCATGTGAGTCACCTCATCATTGTGGCTGGTGAATGCGTCAAAGACCGATGGTTTACCCTCAAACATTGGGTGTGCACGCCCCTCTGGCGACAGCTCAATTTTGCGAGCAATACCCATTTCGCGGCCTCGAGGGTTCATTCCACAATGGCCTCCAGCAGCAACCACTGCAATCTGAGCCGCCCAGCAACTACCATATTGCGGAATGCCTTACATGGCGTCTATGTGAGGCTTAATTTCATGAAATTGTAAAAAAAGTCGTACCATTTTCGAACACTTCCCTAGCAAAGTTAATCTGCTTCGTTACTCGCGAGTCACTGACGTTGTAGATTGTCAACGAGCAACCCGTCCATGCCACTGCGTGATACTACTACCACTGAGAAGGTCAGAATGTTGGCGAGATGTGTCAGGCATAATTTTGCAGATCACCTTGGACAGCTCAGGCTTTCGAAAATCGCTGTCTGCAGGATACACTACATCAGATGTAACTTCTATACCATAAGGCGCCGACTTCTTAAGCAGATCAACGTAGAGTTTTCCAGCAGTGCTTGCGCCACCCGCTTCAAGGTCAGCACGACCCTCAGGTGAGTACCCATCGATTACTAAAAATTTCAATGGAGAAGACGAATACCCAGCTGAGCTCAGTACGCGCGAGGTAGTGGGCGATCGGGTACACAAACGACGTGTCAGCATTCGAGCTTTGGATCAGAGACTGATGTATTTTATATTAGTTGCCACATTGTCATATCGGACTTAATACTTTTTAGGCACGGCAAATGCAATGTCATAATAAATTATAGCATTATAAATTGTAAGAAACCCCGTTGTAGACTTCTCCATAATGAGCACTATCGGATGTCGACTGGCCGGTCAGGTGGCAGTGATTACGGGCGCTGCTGGTGGCATTGGTCGCAAATCGGCCATTTTATTTGCCAAAGAAGGCGCCAAGGGAGTCGTATGCGCCGACGTGAATGCAAACGCTGCAGCTGAGACTGTACAGCTCGTGCACGAAGAGCTTCGAAAGCTAGGCAAGAATGACACGGTTGCCCTCGCCGTCAAGGCTGACGTGTCCAAGGCTAAAGATGTGGAAAATATGGTTAATGTGGCTGAAAAGGAGTTTGGCGCTCTAAATGTACTCTTTAATAACGCCGGCATCATGCATAGCGCCGACGACGATGCCATCACTACACCAGAGGATGTGTGGGACCTCACAATGAACATTAACGTCAAAGGTGTTTTTCTCGGCTGCAAGTACGGTATTTCGGCCATGCGTCGCGCTGGTGGAGGTTCTATCATCAATACGGCCTCGTTTGTGGGTATTCTGGGCGCGGCCACTCCCCAACTCGCCTACACGTCCAGCAAGGGCGCTGTTATCGCAATGTCACGCGAATTGGCAACAATTCATGCTCGTGAGAACATTCGTGTGAACGCTTTGTGCCCGGGACCGCTCAACACCGAACTGCTGCAAAAGTTTCTTGACACGGAGGAAAAGAAGCAACGTCGTCTGGTGCACGTACCCATGGGACGCTTCGGAGAAGCTGCAGAAATGGCCAAGGCCGCACTATTCCTTGCTAGTGATGACGCGTCTTACATCACTGGCACGTCGTTTGTCGTTGATGGCGGTATTACATCTGCTTACGTGACAAGCGAGGGCCAAGTTAATCCTTTTGGAGGCCCTGGCGAGGTTTAAAGCGATTGAGCATTCTCACATATGCGTAAAAAGATACCACCCATACAATTAAAAGTTCAAATTAGCTCATTTAATAGCATGATCGATCCATCGATACGCATTGTATGCACGATTTGCCTACAGCTCCCACTGCTAACGATGACATTGATAGTGTGTATATATCAAATGCGGAAGTTCCACTAGAAAAAAATCCAACGTTAGCGCGAAGAAGAGAAAGCAGGACTGATCAGTACAACGAATTACCGATTTCAGTTTTGTGACGCCACGAAATCCGTGTTTGGAAAGACTGATACCTTTGCCAGAATCGCGATTCCCAGTCCACGGTAGAAACGGATCCAACACATCGCACCGATTCATGTACACTGTACCAGCGCTTATCTTTGAGCCCAAATCCATCGCGTGCTCCCGATTCGACGTGAAGACCGAAGCCGTTAGTCCATACTTGCTGTGATTAATTTTTTCAACAGCTTCAGCGTCCGACACGACGCGCTCCACACCGACAATTGGTCCAAAAGATTCTTCCATCATGATGTCCATGGAGCCATTACAGTTTGCCAGCAAAGTAGGAGTATAAAAGCGGCCTTTACCAGACGCGTCTGTGTCCATTCCACTACCTGTTAGTTGAAGAGCGCCCTTAGCCACAGCATCTTTTACATGAGCATCAAGCATCTTCGGAGCAGTGGGAAGCGCCATTGGACCCATCGTGGTCTTTGCGTCTGTCGGGTCGCCCAGGATATACGCCTCGATAAGACTTTTGGCTTTTTCCAAGAATCGATCGTACTTGGACTCGTGGACATAAATTCGTTCCACACCGCAGCATGACTGACCAGCATTGTAGCAAACACCATCTACTAGCCCCTCTGCTGCGGCCTCAGCATCAGCATCGGCAGTAACATACCCAGCATCCTACAACAACCAAACATTTCCCGCTATAAATATCGATCGACCTATCGGCTTATATAAGTTGATTGATACATTTCCGCCCAATTCTAACGTCACATCAATTGATCGCTGGGCTGCCGCCTGCTGAACTTGACGTCCACTGAACACATCATAAGGAAAAGCACAATTTTAAACAATCATGACTTTTGAGGATTAAATGACAAACGCACCCTTGGACAGACCCCGTAAATGATACAAATGCAGTTTCCGAGCGCTGGATGATTTCCGAAGCAATGTCATGCTCAACGAGCGACGACTGGAGCACGTTTTGAGGAAAACCTGCTTGCTCGAATGTCTTTTGATAGTGCTCTCCGCAGAGAGGGGTACGCGGAGAATGCTTCAGCAGCACCGTATTTCCCGCAAGAACAGCAGGAATGATAGAGTTGACCGCTGTCATGAGCGGATAGTTCCACGGCGCCTGGATCAAAAGTCGTAATATTAATTTCGCTAGGGAGAAATAAAAGGTCAACTTTTGCCAAACTGTTTACAATGACGTATACGACGCCAACAGGTTCATGTGTGATCTGACGGAATAGACCATCTTTTTCTGGAAAGGAGTCCGTGCAAAGCGCCTCATTCGACAAGTATATAAGTGCCCTACAACGTCGCAAATGATAATTAAAATCTTATCCACGAAATATCGATTGCTTTATAAGTACTTGGCACGATCGATAGTGCCATTAATTTCGTTGAGTGCTTGCTGCACAGGTTTACCCATCATGCCAGAAATATCGTGCGCGATGGGTTCAGCGTTGTTTTTCAGCGCGTCAATCCACTTAGTGCACAATGCCTGACGCTCGCTAAGTGAGACGTTCTTCCAGTCCACCTGCGCCTTAACGGCTGCGTCGAGCTTAGCGTAAGCCTCAGCTCTCGAATCATAAGCAAGTTCACAAAAGACCTCGCCTGTGTACGGATTGTCCACCTTCAGTCTAAAAACAAACATGGTAAATAGTTGCTGGTCACTATTTCGAGTTCTAGCTCACGTACGCAGACGCAGCGAAGCCACGCTTTTGCACTTTCAAGACCAGGCAAGACACTAATTTGAGCTATAGCACAAGGTGCGAATTAAATGTAGAATCTTGAGGTTTAGAGACGCATCGTACTTGCGCGTTGGCGTGGCGTAACATGACGAAAACGAATTATGTAAGCCATTATTAATAGGTACGGCAACCGCTGATTCGCTAATTTTCGACTTCTCATCACGGTCGTAAAGACCTGATGGCGCGTCGCCATGAGTCTCCACAGGTCAATCTAAATGCTTTGGCGTAGCTCGCTTTTGGCCAGACATGGTCGAGCGCGTAAGTCATGGCTTAAGTCTTTGCATACACCTTCTGCAATCGCAGTTAATGAAGAAATTCGGTATCTGGTGGTCGACGGCTACGTCAAGACTGGCCGAGACACACTCATGGCAGGTGGTGCCACCACTGCCGGTCAGCTGTACGCTAATATGCTCATCAAAGCCACGAAGCACAGTATTCAACGATCTGCAGCGTGTGATCTTATCTACCCTGCCGACTTAGGATTTGTGACACCAGATTTATCCAAGGTACAACTGATTCTTTATATGATCTCATTCTGCAAAGCCAACCTTAGTGTGGTTATTTATGGTACTCAGTATCATGGTGTAGGCTGGTCTGGGTCTTCTTTGGCGGTGCACGAGCGTGATGATCCATCGGTGCATCAAATGATGAATCTCGCTCGACAGAGCTTTGCTTACGGTGTACCACAATTCGGTAGCTGTTTTGGACTGCAGATAGCTGTAGCAACTGCTGGTGGCGTGGTTCAAAGGAATAGGCGAGGTAAAGAACTTGGTATTGCGCGCAAAATTCGGCTAAATGCTGCAGGGAAGGCTCATCCGATGTACGAGGGCAAGCCGACAGTGTTTGACGCTTTCAGTAGCCATAAAGATGAGGTCCGAGTCATTCAACCAGGGGGGCTACAGCTTGCATTCAACACATTCACTACAGTGCAGAGCGTGTGTCTAAGATACCTCAAGGGCGAGTTCTGGGGACTGCAGTATCATCCGGAGTATGATCTGCACGAGATGGCACGCTTGTTGCACTGTCGTCGTGTGATAAACACTCAGCTTGGGTTTTTCGAAAACTTAAAGGATGCTGATTGCTTCATCGACATGCTCGAGGAGCTAGCAGCCAATCCGAATCGCAGCGACCTTGCATGGCGAATTGGCTATGATAGAGATGTGCTCGATGAAGATGTGCGTACATGCGAGGTAAGAAATTTCGTCAAGCATTTAGTGATGCCGTACTTCATGCGGTGCCATGGTCAACGACAAAACAAAGAGGACGGGACAATAAAAGATGGCAGATGTTATCTTGAAGCGGTATGAGTGACTTGATCTTGTAGAGAAAAAATGCATTCAAGAAGTAACACTCATGAGAATAAATTCTGAAGCCGTAAACTACTTGGGAGGCATACACTTATACAATAGAAATTGCGATTTAAGTGGTAAATATGCATTAGAAAGGGTCATAGATACAGGCTAGATCGAAACGTCACTGGCGCACCATTAAAATGGCTCTTCAAATACGACTTTGGGCTGGCCACAATATTCAGTAGCTTTATATTGTTGCTGTTAGCTTTTTGATGCTTTAACTAGTTAGAAAAAACTACGCACTCGTAAATTCGCTGTTATTCAATAGGAAAAATGCACATACATAGAATATGCAGTTTATCCTTCTACCTTGACAATGAAATCAAACACTTTTTTTCTGTGCACTCAGTTGATTCATGCGCTTGCGAATAATGACAATGAAAACCAGCACAAGAAAAACTGCGCCTCCACATACAAAGCCGAACAACTTAATGGCCTCAATAAATTCAAGTTCTCGCATCATTTTGACGCCGTCTACACTTCGAGAAAGGTTGTTGGCAACATTTATCAGCGCAATGAGTTCGTTGCGGTGCATCTCCGGGATTGTCGCCACGTCTTCGGTAAGTAAAATCTTGATTGCCGTGCCCAATCCCATTATTTGCAGCTTGCCCCAGAGACGGCATCTTTCACAAGTAACACAGTCCATAATGCGACTCACGTTCTGGAACTTCGCACGAAACTGCACTTCCAATTGCTCTTTTTCTTGCTTGGCTTTAGTGAGTTGGTCAATCGACAGCCCATCGGAACGAACACGGAAAAGCGCACTCTCATCGAAACCAGACAAAACCGATGAGCACTCAGCAAATGCCGGACAAGAAGCTCCAGATGACCGAGCATCGTCCGATCCTTCCAACAACAATAGGCGCAATATTTCTTTCACACGAAGGTCGTCAACAGTATTTCCTGTATTGTAATTGTATGCCAGCAATTCGTGACGGTATTTGCTGATTGCACGCATGACAAACAGGTACGCAAAATACAGATTCTGCAGCCGTTCGCGATGTTTTCCAACTCTCTGGACAAACAGCGATGGATTCATGCCCCAATTCTCACCGAACTTATATGTTAATGCGATATGCGTATTAATCGATGCTTGTAGCCCACTGATGAGGCGGTAGTATACACGCTCTTCTAAACACATGCCATCTAGAGCACTTTCATCCGCAGGCGTAAAGCAATTTTCTTCGTAAATGGCCTTCCAGATGCGTTCGGCCTGGATGCCACTGTAACCAGTATATCTCTCGGGATTTTCAAGAAGATTGATATACGTCATTGTTTCTTCTGCCTCACCCTGTGTCGCCCATACATTAGAATTGGAGACCTCTTCCCACCCTTTAAAGCTTTTTCCTGCCACTGCATTCTTGCGCTCAACCTTTGACAATGTGCTCTCCCCCGTTTGCTCATCGCAAAAAATTCCTATCTCGTTCTTACTACCTTTCTCCTGGTGGTCCAGTTGATTCCAAGGCACTGGAATCTCGTGCGGTGGACACTCGCAGACCGCGCAGTCAATACTGGCACACATGCCGTCGTCCTGCCACGGCAAATACGGACACTCTTTGCCCAAATCCACCTTGAAGTACCGGAAGAACGTCAGTTGTGACAGCTCCTGCAGAAGAGGATGGAAAAACTCGTTCACCGCCTTGTCAACCGTTTTATAATCGCATGCCGAGTCCTGCACACTACCCTTCAGCTCTGGCGTCTGGCACACTTGGCACTGAAGGTAGTCCACCATATCCTTTGCAAATAAAGGCTTCGGCTTAATGTTAGCAGCAGATGCTTCGAAGGACTGCGCTGATGCAGCGATGGTGGCTGCACCGAGCAGTCCAAGACGCCGTAGGGACGTCGTTACCATGGCAAAGCAAATCTCTTTAAAACGCGATTGTCGAGCGAAAGTATTCAGTTTTAATGCAACATCGCACACAAATTAAAAATAAGGAAAGATAGCACTTCGTATTAGCCCTCCCAAAAAAAAATTGGCAGAAGAACAGAACATTTTGGTGACAATGTGAAAATTTGAATTTTGGTCGTAAACTTAATATAAATGTAAGAAAGTTCTTGAGATATGATTAGGAACGACACCCCTTTTTAGGGGTCGTGTAAGCCATGTCAAGCACGTGCTGTAGGGTTTT